TTGCACACTTGCCGCAAATAAGACCAAATAGTTGTAGGTAAAATGCAGAATTGGGATTTTTCTCACCTGATATTCCTCTTGAATCTCCAAATCATCTGGTCAGGTCCTATCTGTCTTGTCCGAGGTTCAGACAGAAGTCCTCACTACTGCATCAGTCAGAAGCCACCTAGTAACTATACAGACATAGAAGTTACACAATGTCTCAAACAACATGAAGTAAATAATATGTTGAATGCAGAATTCAGATTTTTCTCACCTGATATTTCTCTTGGGTCTTCAAATCATCTGGTCTGATCCAATCTGTCTTCTAACATGACAGGTTCAGACAGGAGTCCTCACTACTGCTCAGTCAGCAGCCACCTACTATACAGACATTAGAAGTTACACACTTGTCTCAAATAAGACCAAATAATTGTAGGTAAAATGCCATATTGGGATTTTTCTCACCTGATATTCCTCTTCGGTCTTCAAATCATCTGGTCTGGTCCACTCTGTCTTGTCAGGTTCAGACAGAAGTTTTCACTACTGCATCAGCCTTCATCTAACCATATAGATTATAAGTTGGACACTTGTCTTGAATTAAAAACTAGCAATGCACACACCTTAGAATTATATCTTTACTTTAAAACAAACACATACCTCGATGAAAACTCTACATAATGACCATAAAATCGGGGATAGAAACAACAATAAAATAAATCAACCCCAACTGAAACTTTATGTGGAATACGAAAAAAAACTCTGAAATATTTTGAAAAAAGGAATTGCTACCTTCAAGCATAGTCATTGCATCTGTAGTGTTTGCGCCAGAAATACTTGTGCTTGGTCATTACTAATACTATTTACTAAAAAGGAAAGGAACAAGCTTTTAAATTATAAATGATACATATTTGCAAATGATAATGAACGAATTTGAAAGTATCATGGTCAACTCGACTTAGCTAGTTTTCAACCGTTTTGTGTATTCATATTTTCGGCGACCTTAAGCTTTGAGGCCCCCATCTTGTTTCCGCAAATTTTTGGCGGGAAAAATAACTATTAATTATGTACACCGCCACATTCCAACGGGTGTTTTGAACCACGTGGAGAGAGAAAATGGTTTGGTCAATGCAGAATGTCTTTTGACAAATATAACCTCAAAACGCTGAACAACTGACTAAAAAGACATGCACATACATTTAACACTCTACAAGTGCACCACACATTGAAAATGTTGTTGAAAACGCGGCAACTTGATGGACTTTTCTACAAAGCCTATGTAAAATTAGGAACGGTCGCTACCTAATACAGAAATAGTTCATTTCTTACGGAATATGTTGACATGTTCGTACTAGTTGCTAAGGAATAATGTCAGCAAAACAATGTCAATGTACTGGTTTACCTGAAACAATGAGCGAAGTCCATACCACGCTACTCTTCCCAACTGTCTCGCCATTTTTGTCTTCTCCAAAATTCGCGATTCGCCAGGTCAGGAAATCCGCATTTTCTCCTCAAAACATCACCAGAACGGCACAAATCCACAGCAAATACTCCCCAACATTCTACTGCACAGTTACTAAGACATTCTGCCGACGAAAACGTCTAAAAGTACCCAGAAAGTTGTTTTAAAAATCAGCCCAGAGTACTTAGTATTCCCGTCGTACGAAATCGCCATTTTGAACGGACGATACCAAACTTGTTTTTACACAGGTGTGCAGAACGGCCGTGCATAATTAATGTAAAGTTGATAATCTAATTATATGACGACCAATGACGGCCCGTTTCGGTGCCAGGCACTTAAATGTGTCGAAGAAGTACGATTAGATTGCAAAAGCAGTTTTATTTCATTCATTATACATATATGTGCATCATTATCATTTGGACAGAAAATTACAAACAAGAAGCTTAAACTCTATAACAATGGATTCTACCAACACAGATGAGCTTTCATTAAAAATACATACAAATTATAAAACCAATATACAAAATCAATGAGTCTGACCACCGGTATAGTATTATTGTACATTGTAGTATACAGATTTGTACATTTCATACATTGCATTCTAATATACATTATTTCCATAAGTCAAAAAGATGTACACATTCATGTTCTAGTTTATTCATCTATGTTTACTTATTTATCTATTAACAAATATTTATTTATGTTGTATTATGTATCTGTGGCTTATGTCTTTATTAGTTATTAGTTCTTAAACTGTGTCCTTTTTCTGTTTGTGTCATGTAACGTTATCCTTTTTGTGAAATGCAATAAAAAATTTTTTTAAGAAGATGCTGATCAAAACTGATGATAGCATTCAATGATCTAAAATTAAATAAGCATGTGTTTTAAGGGTCTTAAGTAACAGAACTGCAGAGACATGAGTAACTTAACTAAGTGAATGGGTACCTAACTTCGGTTGGGGAAAGCCGTATTGAGGTCACCTTGTGGCACTGAATGGCAGCCGCACAGACCCTTGCAGCAGTTCCACAAAAATGTGGAACAAACATGTCATTGTATGTATCATGTGTATTATGTATCATTATGTGTATTATTACCATTTGTATCATCTTTTTGTAAACCCTGCATCAATTCAGCACTATAAGGCTGTGATTGCACAGGTGATGTTTGGCCAATAAACCATTTATTATTATTATTATTAATGCGGCAGTCTTTGTTTTAAAGCTTTCTTCGGTCACCAAAAGTCTAGCTTCACAACTAGATAGCTTTTTTAATCTCTAGTAGCAGCGGAAGCAATAGCACAACTTGTCAATTGTCTTTGTTTTCCTTTTCTTCTCAGACGTCTTCACAGCTTGGCCCTGTTGGCTTCAAGGAAGGGTTTCAGGTACTTGTGGTAGGACTGGTGCACCTGAGGATTAACAAGTATCATTGCAACATGTTAGCCACAATATGTATCTGTATCAGACTGTATAGCCAGTATAACCGCCCTTCCGTGTAACACACCAGCTTCTGTATCTGTATAGCCGGTATAACCGCCCTTCGGCGTAACACACCAGCTTCTGTATCAGTATAGCCGGTATAACCGCCCTTCAGCGTAACACACCAGCTTCACATGCACACGGCGTGGCAGCAGCTAGCTATATCACACCGAACAACTTGTTACACTCAATCTTTGCACATTTATAATTGCAGAAGTTGTTTAAAGCTTTCTAATGATAATGCTTGGTGGCAACGAGTTCCAGTCTACGATAGTTCTGGGGAAATGCGAGTTTTTGAACACCTCAATTCTTGGTTGATAACTCTGATATTTGAAGGCATGACTGTTTCTAACTTGTTCTTTTCTGGGCTGGTATCAGATACTTAGTGGTTGGTACGTCCCAGGAAGTTTCCTTGAGCAGGTATAGATCACCTCTTTGAACACGACACACTCCCAAATGTTCGAACTAGTGGCCAGCCCTGTTAGAAGGAACCGGCAAGAATATAACAACGGCAAGAATACAACTGTTACACTACATTACATTGTTACAGTTACATGTACATGTACTCACATCAGTTTTGTTGAGAGGTGAAGCCTTGGCCCACTCCAGCAGGTGTTCGTAGACGTTCCCATCGTAGCGCCCCAGTATGGAGTTCAGGATCCCGTCCCGGAAGTCGAAAGCGTCGACAAGAGCCACCGCGTCAGGACGGAGTTTGGCCATGAGGGAGTTGATGTGGCGTTTGGCCTGGCGGATGTCTTTACCAGTCATGTAGCCATCCTGACAAAAAAATTACTGGATATCAACTCCCCATAGCTTTTACGAGTGTGGTAAAAGAAAGTACTTAAATCTAATACAAGCCTAAGCCTAAGGCAGATCACTTTGAGGTGGAGCAGGTAAAAATGCGCACTTTTCAACAGTGTACAGAAAGTGCAAAAAGGAGCAAAAAAAGAGGAGGTATATTTCTTTCAAATTCATTCCATTTTGTTCTTTTTTGTTGGTTTTTACACTTTCTTAACACCCCGTTTTGTACAATGTAATTAGTGACAACATAACTGTACAGCTTCTTTTGTTCTATATATGCATATTAATAAGACGTCATGCTGTGTAAAATGTATGACTTTGTGGAGATGTATGGTGATTCATACAAGGTACATCCTACATCTTACCTCCAAAAAGTCCCCACTGTTAGTGACCAGCCCATGTAGAGAGTACAGCTGACACAGCCTAGTCAGGACAGCAGAGACGGAGCTGTCCAGTGTGGTGTCTGTCAGCCTCTCCACAAAGTTCTTCACCACAAAGTACTGGCTGTGGGCCTGCAAAACATCAAACAGTTCAAGTTCTTGTTTAAACTTAAAACTTTAGATCTAACACTAACTTAAGTTCTCTCACCTAGAGTAACCATGACGGGGGCCAACATTGTCTACCAGATACCTTTGACCAGTGTTGTCGTCACACTTCAAAGAAGCCACGTGACAAGCCTCACTGGGTCAGTCTACTGAAGAAGACCAGAGTGACTGGTAGAAAGCTCTAGGCTCTAGGAGAACTTCTTTGTGTTGGATCTGATTTAACAAAGATGAACCTTCATGATACTTTAAGTTCTTCTCAATACTTTACACTTAGGCCAATCCAATTTAATTTTAGTTCTCGGATAAACAGAGTAAGGCATCCTATGATAGCCCCAAATCCTAGGAAGAAGCCATGAAGTTAACAAACAATGGGGGGGGGAGGGTGGCTGGCCGATGAAGTTGTTGAGACTCTAACCTGCAGGGGTATAGACATTTGCTATGCCCAGGAACCACTGGAAAGAGGCAAATGGTACGCTACCATCAAGACCCAGCACTCCAACAAACGATAAACCGGATAGTGTGTGTGAGAGAGAGAGAGAGAGAGAGAGAGAGAGAGGAGACAGAGAGTGTACCATGTTTGACGTTAGGAAGTTTCAATACAGTAGATGAAACAATGCACATAGTTATATCCAATGAGCTGCTCTAACCATTAAGCTCCAAGCAGATCCCTTTCAGTGGCAAGATAGTATCCAAAAGCCTAAGGAGTTAGCATGGCCACCTTTGATGACTAATGGACGCTCCTCTGGCCAATGGATTATGCCTTACCACCGTATGCAGGGTTGTCACCAAGATTTTTTCACAGCATAGGGGTCAGGCACAGAAGGACAACTTTCGCGGCGCAAGTCACGCATTGAGCCCAAAAAATTTGAAAGTCATAACCCTGAGACACTAATTTCTCACTTAATGAGGGACAGATTTTGTGAAGTTAAGGTTCCCTTTGCTATAGCTTCATTTTAAAATTATATTTTCATTTTTTTCAAGATTTATGAAGGTTTTCCCCCAAAAAACACTCCTATGCTGGTTGAAAGACAGCATAGGGGTCCAACTCACAGCATAGAGGTTCAAATTACAGCATACCTATGCTCAAAAGGCCTGGCGAGAACACTGGTATGATCTGCTTGGAGATTACTAACCATGGCTGCCTTGACGAGATCCACAGACGCAGCGTTCCAGGCATCGGGCTGGTCCTTCCCAGCCTGCCTCTCATTCCTCAGCAGTACAGCAGCCTCATGCACCAGCCTGGAAACAAACAACATGTCCTAAAACTTCTTGACACTTCATTGCCTGTTTGGAGCACACCTAGAGAGATACATGTACAGTACGCTAAGAATGAAGAATGTTACAGACAGCAACTTTGTATTAGGCCACACTGATTTAACTTTATGGATGACATCCACGTGCCTATTTACTTTCGCGCCTGTTCTAAAAAAAATCACCTCCGAGGGTCTGGTCTGGTTGCCATCCTCCATAGTCCATGGTAGCTGGTGACAGTTGGGAGTCGGCAGTAACTACGGAGGATGGCACCCAGGCTGCCAAAGCTCCACAGAACTCAAAAACTCAGTACAGTACCAACTCATAAATGTCTCAAAAGTTTAGCATGTGCCGGCTTGTCGTAAAAGTAGCTATGTACAGTTTAACTGCAAATTCACAGTCACAATCTCAGTTTTGTATTCCTGTGGTTTAACAGCATTTTGTTTATTAGCTGAAAGTTTTTTTATTCGCCCGCTTGCACTAGTTTGAGGGTCTTCACAGGATGTCATCCATAAAATTAAGTCAGTTTCGCATTATCTTCAAGGACAATTTGTCTTACCTGGGGGCCTGCATGGGGGGGTCCTGACAATGCTCTACGTTGAATTCGGAAACCTCTCGATTACGCTTTACGATAAATTCCAAGTGGCTTCAACGCATTACGTAGAATTAAAACGGCAAATACGCTCTACGCCAAATGCGCCAATTATGCACTACGTTGAATTAGAGCAGTCCGTCTATGCTCTACGTAGAATAAAAACGGCTGATTACGCTCTACGGAAAAGGGCATGCGGGCCCCCTTACCTGGCTGCCCTGTGCTGGTAGGCATCACACAGAGTCCCCAGGTCCAGCATGTTCCTGTTCCTCCCAGCCACAGCGACTGGCTGTACCCCTGCCAGGTACGCCACAGAACCAGCCAGCTTCTCTCCCTGCTGGGACTGGTTATAACTCTTCATCAGGTACCTGGGGGGAGAAAGGGATGCCATCTGTATCAGGATATTAGGCAGGGAGGAAAAGGATGCCATTTGTATCAGAAGATACATTTGTAGGGGACCAGTTTTTCCCGAACAATTTTAAAGTGCCAGAGGAAAATTCATTACAAAAAGTAACATTTGCAAGCAATCAATTCAGAGAGACCTGTTAAACTGCAAGCAAACAATTTATTACCTGTTAACCCCAACAAAATACTGCTCTGCTTATTCTTACACATGTTAATATGGCCATAGTCAACAGCCCTGCAACTGGCTTATACATAATTTAAGGTGTTGCTGCAGGATCTGCTACAGCACCAGTTACCATGGTGACAGACATCTGGTCCAGGTCATTGATCTTGTTTAGAGAAGAAGAGGAAGAAGAAGAAATGGAGCAAAAGCAATGTTTTCTCTGTGCAAAATTAATGTTAGCAATCACAATGATTTCACTTCTTGCTTTCACAAAATAGCAAGGTTGCGCTGTATCATTTAGCATCTTGATAGAGAGGATAGCCATTGGCTATTGTGTGAATTAAGTTACAAATGACTTTGAACTGACCTTGCAGTTTGAAGCATCATGACGGTGTTCTCTCCCTCGTAAGTCGCGCCCGGAGTGGCATTGGCGTACAGACGGGGCAGCCCGCTGGCGTGAGAGTACCCGTGTCCGCCGCACGCCAGACGACACTCCTCCATCCCGATATTCGCCACCCACGATGTCAGCGCTTTCAGACCAGCCGAAAGGGCGTGAAGCTGCAGACGAAACAAATATTAATCTTAAGGCCACACCACTGTAATTTGTTGGTTCTCAGATTTTTCCAGAAAAAATACTAGTATGAAGCGACAGGGTGAAAAAAAAAAGAAAATAAAAACAGGTCTAGGCATGCTATATGTTATAGCCCCAAATGCTACGAAAGAAGCCATGAAGTCTTTTTTTTTAAATTTTATTAATTAAATTGGTGTGGCCTTAGTTTGTAAACCATTAATACCTGAAAGGTTGCAAAAAATATTGGAGAACAATAGTTATGTCTTAGAATGCCAAAATCAATTCCAAAGGAAAGAAGAAAATGTGAAGAAATGAAAATAAAGATTTCATGATAAAGACAACAGTTACTTTTTTTTTTAAACTTTTTTGTTATTCACAAGCTCGCATCAGTTTTGAGGTTCCCAGAGGATGTCATCCAATATAATCAAATCAACATGGCCTACCCTGAAAAAATTGTTTTAGGCACAAAATCAGATGGCTACCAGGCCATCACCAGTTCAAATGTTATATCTGCAAATGTCATTATGATATTGCGTTTCATCCTTTCAAAAATAAATAATCTTCAGTATCACCTCAGGCAGGACACTGATGTCTCCCTTAGCGATCTGGTTGGCCGACGTCATGTAAACCTTCATCATGGTCTGTCCAGTCAGCCAGAAGGCGTAGGCAGTAGCCAGGTTTGGGAACAACTTGTACTGCTGGGTCACATAGTCCAACACCTGGGGCTCCGGTTGGCTGGAAACATGAAGTAAAATTAAAAAGTTAAACTAGAGAGGTACAGCAAGTGTATAAATTGTTTACCTTCACTTGATGTAGCCTAACAAAATGTGACTCTCTGTTACACAAATTCTACAAAAATTCTGATCTGTCTTGAAACTCGCAACATAAATGTAATCCAACACCAGAGGTTGTCTGCTGCAACACCAGTTACCATGGTAACAGCTGTCTGGTCCAGGTCATTGGCCTTGTGTGTTTGGAATCAAAGAAGATTAACAAAGCAAATTCATTCTACGAGGTAAATGCATAATTTTTACCTTTACATTGGGATGGAATAGCTAAAATAACTACTGAGTACTCTTATTCTTACTCATTTTCTACCAACACTATCCTACAACTTGCTACATAATGTAACCTAACACCTGGGGCTCAGCATGGCTGGGAATACAATGTAGTTACAGAAATTTTGCAATTTCCAAAATAAAATCATTTGTCCTATGTATATGGAGATATCATGACTTACTCTCGGATTCACCCTGTCCATTTTTTCCGATTTCCAAAAAAAAATTTTTTTTTTAAATAATTTTTTTTTGTTCTAAATCAACTGCAAAATGCTCAATGAAAGACATACTTCCGCTAATGTAGGTTCGTCTAAGGGTGGATTCTACTCATCTGCACAGTGACTGCTTTTCCCAAACATCTTTCTCTCTCGTGCAACGGTTGAAGAAAGTCCATTTCTTCTTAGTTGTTAAGGTTTTTCAATATAACAGTTGTTTCTTTAAAAGTTCAAAATCTAATTAATAAATAAACCAGCCTGGTATGTTCACTTCATGGCTCAAAATGTAACATTTTTTTTCTTGAACCGGCTATCATGGGGTGCCTTGGCAAGCACGTCTAACCCCAGGTTGGGGAAAAATGACGGTTTAAAAAAAAAAATTATTTCGCCCTGTCGCTCCACATTTTTTCTGAAAAAATCCGAGAAGCAACAAATTAAATTGGTTGCATAAAATGGTTCCATAAATACACTGTAGCAGAGAAATTTTTTTCAAAAGCTATATATATGGCCTACAATGATCCAAAATTCCAACCATCTAATTCTTTTGTTCTTACGTCTTAACTTCGCATTTACATCATTGCAAAGGTATAGCAGCAGCCAATTTGTCAACGCTAGGTGCTAGCCCCAACTTTAAACGACCAGCAGCGCTCTAAACTACAATGGACTAACAAACTAAGTTTAGAAATTAATTTTTCAGAAATATTCAGTATATGACATAATGACAGATTTTCTCGGACCTCTTATGTCCCTTTAAGTACACAACATGAGTAACCCACCCTCGTATGGGGGCGATATCGACTTCAGACAACCTTTGACCCTTTGCTGACGTCACACGTGGGAAAAATCACGTGTCCACAGCATTTGGGTCAGATAGCTGAGGAAGACTGAGTGATTCAGTCAAAAATTTCTGGTGAGTCAAATTTTGAGTTGGAGAACAGTTTAAGTTTTTCATAACCCACCCTGGTTTCATCTCGGACTGCCGGCGCACACAGCTGTAGCGTGTTGCTATGGTAACAGCCCTGGCCAGGAACCTGCTGGAGTTCTGGACGATATTGGCTCTCACCATCACCATGGTACCGTATGCCAGCTTGGTACTGGGCGGCTTCACGTAGGTGCCATCCGGCTCAACCTGGAACAAAGATAGCAAGGGTGGGGTCGTGTGGTGCAAGAGGTCCCGGGTTCGATCCCCACCTATAATATGTCATCGATCTTGTGCCCTTGGGAAAGGCACTTTACACGACTTTCCTCACTTCACTCAGGTGTAAATTACTACCTAGTTTCGGTTAGGGATGTCCCTCGGATAGGACATTAAATGGAGGTCCTGTGTTTGGGGAGAGCCACACCCCAAGCACGTTAAATAACACACCGCACTTATCAAAGAGAGTAGGGGACCTTCCCGGTCACGGTGAGTGGTTCATTTTATAGTCCGGTCTTATGCAGCTTGTACATGTACGTGCATGTACAAAACTGGTGTGTTACGCCTAAAGGCGGTTTACCGGTTATGCGAAACAAACAAGCAAACAAAACTGACCCTTGAATACTTCATGAGCATGTTCTCCCGCGGGATCCTGACGTTGTTGAAGGCCAGGAAGCCGTTGTCAACAGAGTCAAATCCAAACTTGGGTCCAATGTCACCAACAGTCACGCCTGGAAATGACATGACATACTCAGTAACCTATTAACTCATACTCAGTAACCTATTAACTCATACTCAGTAACCTATTAATTCATACTCACTAACCTATTAATTCATACTCACTAACCTATCAACTCATACTCAATAACATATTAACTCACACTAATCTAATAGCTCAGACTCACTAACCTATTAACTCATACTCATTGACCTATTAACTCATACTCATAAACTTATTAACTCATACTGACCTATTAACTCATACTAACCTATTAACTGAGACTCAATAACCTATTAGCTCATAATCACTAACCTATCAACTCATACTCAATAACCTATTAACTCACACTAACCTAATAGCTCAGACTCACTAACCTATTAACTCATACTCATTGACCTATTAACTCATACTCATAAACTTATTAACTCATACTGACCTATTAACTCATACTCACTAACCTATTAACTCATACTAACCTATTAACTCATACTCACTAATCTATTAACTAATACTCAATAACCTATTAATTCATACTCACTAACCTATTAATTCATACTCACTAACCTATCAACTCATACTCAATAACCTATTAACTCACACGAACCTAATAGCTCATACTCACTAACGTATTAACTCATACTCATTGACCTATTAACTCATACTCATAAACTTATTAACTCATACTCACTAACCTATTAACTCATACTAACCTATTAACTCATACTCACTAACCTATTAACTCATACTCACTAACCTATTAACTTCATTAACTTACCAGGCAGAGGCTTGTGATCCTCCAGACTGCGAATCTGCACCATGAAGGGATGTGGGCCGTAAGACTTGCCGTGGATGTACAGCTGGGCCATCAGGACAGCGTAGTTAGAGATGTGCCCCACTTGATAAAAAAAATAAAATAAGACAGACGTACAGCTTAAAACAGTAAAACTTGCATGTCAAAGTTGGATAAAACACCCTGAGAAACAAGCTGTTTAACGTCAACAGGATGCCTTCCTTTGCTATGCAAATGAGATTTTACCCCCCAGGATTCGCAATGCATCTTGGGAATGGGAAACTCGTGAATTGGTTCGTGAAAGTCCAATGCTCTAACGGTTGCGCCTGACCAATAAAACTCTAAAACAGACTAAAACGTACTTTGACCAGGCCACCACTTGTACGCTGTGATTGTGGGTGTGTTGATGACAAACTCCTGAGTAGAGGGGTCATACGTCGCCGTTGTCTCCAAGCCTCGGAGGAAGGTTCCTTTCATGTGGGGTGATACATATGATACAAATGGTAATAATACACATAATAATACACTTAATACACAATGTCATGATACATATTTGTTCCACATTTTTGTGGAACTGCCATTCGGCTGCCATTCGGCGCCACAAGGTGACCTCAATACGACTTTCCCAAACCGAAGTTACATGTAGGTACCCATTCACACCTGGGTGGAGTGAGGACAGTCATGTAAAGTGTCTTTCCCAAAGGCACAACGTCGGGTGCATGTCTAGACATGTCCCGGGTACGACTCGGGATCGAACCCAGGTCTCCCGATTCACAGTTGAATGATCTACCACTACGCCACCCGACGCTACGATAAATAGTACAGAAGGTGGTGAAATCATTCCTGAGATTTGTTACTACAGTCAAACCTGTCCAAGCCGGCCAACCAGGGGACCAAAGAAAAGTGGTCACCTTGAAGACTCACAACATGACTGAGACATAAATGGTTTCCAAGTCGAGATGTTTTAATGTTTCAATTGCTGTAAGCATCTTCAGTTCTGTGGTGACTGAAGGGAGGTTGGCACAATGAACAATTTATGTCAGACAAAAACATCATCCAGCAGTCAAGGCTAAACTGACTGGTTTCTCCATGATGTCTCATTTAGTTATCATCAATAATCAACATGATCAAAAACTAGAGTTCCCCGATCTCATACCTTCGCCAAATGACTGACAAATTATAGATTAGATTATTCCCCCTGATTTAAGAAATAGGAACCTAATTTTAATGAATTATATCATTTTATCATAATCTCAACCAAAAGACAGTCTTATATAAACAAACAAGGCATTCTAGTATTTCCTAATAAATTATGCAAATGAGGTCCTGATTTGAATAAATTATGTTTAATCATGTTCACCTCAACTTAACTTTCAAATACCATAAGTATGAAATTACAGGCAGTTATCATTATATAATTATAAATTTTCTCATTAATTATGCAAATTAAGTCATTATTAACACTAGAGTTCGACGATCTCATACCTTCGCCAAACGATCTTAACTTTTATGACTGATCATGATGTACTAGCGAAGGTAATAAAGATTATATTTTGCATGAGTAATAACCTTGAATGTTGAAATTAGCCTAGGTATACGGGAGTCTAGCAATGTGGTGAAGCCTTTAGTGAAGTCATCAATATGGTGATTAACGTGCAGCAGGTTTAATTACCTGTAGCATAAATTTTTGTCATTGAATATGCAAATTAAGTCCCTATTTACATGTACTGGATCCTTTGCATAATCTATATGTAGACATTGTGTTTTTCACTTAAGTTACATGAGGTATGACGGATGCATATGATGTCAAACACATGTTGATGGACACATTGATCTGGTGATGTTTATTAATGACCTTGCAAAATGTACAAAACAGTTCTTCTTCATTTCTAAAACGGCAACCAAATATATAAATAATATCTATATGTTCAGATAAAATTTACACATACAAACATGTCTATGTACACCACGGATCAATATTTAGTAACACTGCTGCAAAATTCTACTTCAGTGTAATGGAATTGTACAATTCACATGAGACATCACAATGTGTAGTGAGGTAGATTTTACAGCATCAACGAAACACAGACCATGTCATGATCGGAATAATATGTGTCATGAACAGTTACCAATAGACTGTCTTCATCAAGGCCGCGGACGTAAACGTGGTCAAGAAGACTACCATAGTCAGTTGTGGGAGATTGCACGAACTGCCTGAAGCCAAATTGTTCCATCACATTCAGAATTTTGGAGGGGGCATTTCAAGAGGTCAAAATTAAAATCCCCAAGGACAACTGTTATCATTTTACTTGGAAGTAAGATCAGAAGTCTTTGTAATCTGTTGATGAAGTCTTCTTCCGGTAAGGTCTGTGGTCTGTAAATGTTTACAATGTTAACTGTGGTGGACTCCTTGGTGATAGTAATCGCCGTATACTCCAGGCCCCCTACCGGAATATGTAGCTGTGTGGGGATAATGTCCTGTCTAGCAACAGTCATGACTCCGCCTCCTCTTCCCACTCTGTCTGCTCTGAAGGATAGCGAATGTGGTAGGAATAGATCAGCCTGTTGATTCTTGTGCAGGAATGTTTCGACGAAGCAGAAAACATCAAGGGAGTGTCTGTTTTGTCTGCTTTCAAGTCTTGTAAATGCTCCGTATAGGTAACGGATGTTGAGGAATTTGATTGTGAGATCATTGTTCCCTACAGTGAGAACATGACAAAGGAACCTTTGGCACAGGTACTTGTTGTAGACGGAGCATTTCATCCAAAAACAGCTGTGTTCACGCGAATTGATGTTGGCTTAAAACCCAGCAGATACAAGTCATTTAAGCTTCGCACACGGCTTAGAGCAACGTAAGCTTGACCAGGCATGAAGCAACCTTTGCTTTCCATTGAGACAACAATTCTGCTCAATGTCTTGCCTTGAACTTTGTGAATGGTGCAGCCCCATGCTAATGACAGTGGAAATTGAGCACGCTGTGCTTGGACCGACCGTCTTCCCTTACCAGCGAAGAACTGAACGGTTTGTCTTTTGATGGGTACTGCTCCGGGGTAAGCCTGCTTATATTGGCTGTCGGTAATGGCTTGTTTGCCAACACGATCACTATCAAACTTAACCAGGATGGTATGGACATCAGGACCTGTGCTGTCAACGCCAACGACCGTTGCAAATGTTCCATTTACAAGTCCATCTGCAACGTCAATATTAACCGTCACCATCACCCTTGCTCCCACGGCTACAGACACGACTTCTCGCAAGCCACCCGTGTCACTTGGCTTGGTGGACATGTTAACATTAGTGAAACCCGTTAGAAGATCTTTCTTCGAGTCGATGGCTTTGATATCAAACACCTTTGACGAAAGTGTTGTCAGGTGTTTGGCATTGTGCTCGTCTACTTCTCTGTTGGTTTTGAAGACGTGCAGCGCTTCTGATGGATAGCTTGGGTCGGTTCTGGATATGACCCTGGACTTGAGAAGGTGAATGTCATCTTCTGTGCATGAGGCTGTTCTTACTCTCATCAGAAGGTTTGCAAAGTTTTGGTCTTCTTTCTGTCGCATGCTCTCCGTGAGTTCCATCATGTGGAAGTTTTCCTCCCACAGAGATCCATGCAACTTGGCGTAGCTGTCTGAAGGCAGGCCGAAGACATGATTCTGACCGACAGGCTGAAGTTGGAACAGGTCCCCGACAGCCAGGATGCTGACCCCTCCAAACCGGCTGTCAGGGTCGGGGCTGCCACAGATGTCCTGCAGACGGCGGTGGATGTGATACAGGAGGTCTGCACCGACCATCGACACCTCGTCCACAACAAGGAGCTTCAGCTTTCCCAAGCGTGAGCGAAGTGTGTTCAGTCGGTCACTGCTTAATGGCTGATAGTCTTTGCCCCTGTTCAGACCACAACTGAGGCTGAGAGCTGAGTGCAAGGTCATACCATTAATGCCAAACGCGGCTGTTCCTGTAAAGGCAGTCAACATAACTGGGAGGTCATTTGGGTCGAAATAATGTCCAGACAAAGGTCTGAGAAGTCTCAGTGTTTCATGATGAACCAACTTGATTATATGGCTCTTGCCAACTCCACCGGGGCCACTCAGAAATACCATGTACTGTGGTACTTGTTGGTTTTGTTTCAGAGCAATGATGGTATTTTTGCACCATTTGCGATGAAACCTGAGAACTTCCATTTGCTGGCTGTTTAAAGACCGCATCATAGCTCTGTATTCCTCTGAACTCATTAGCACTTTATTCATCTCTGCTGAAAAGCGTGCGTGAAGTTCACAACTAGGACTGGGTGTTGAATGTGGGGCCAGGTCGATGTTTCCACATTGGTCTTCCTGGAATACTTCTGTCTCCACAGTTATTCCTTCATCTTGTTGCTCAGCCTGTTGGAACTCCACATTCGGAGCAACACTATCCCACATGTCTTCTGGGGGACCATTTTGACGCAGGTCATCATAGGCTGCATTGACTGCATCAGCGTTTATGCTGAACATCGCTTCATTGGCACGGATGGTGTCTATGACGTGTTCATAGTGTTCTTTGAACGATGGGAAGGTTGCTTTGATGTCGACTTCCTCGTTTCGCCAAGGCAAGTATAGCATGAGTAAATTCCTGTACTTGTCCTCGCCATCTTTTCTTTCTTTGTGAAACCTGCAAGGAGTATGTGATATGCACTATTATTACAATGTCAACAACGGAAATCAAAAGCTCACCAACAAGCATCAAGTGTGTGCAGTGTCATGTAAAATGTGAATGATTGATGTACCTGATGATGCAGTGCTTTTTCCTCTTTCTCATGGTGCCCAAGTTGTTCTGCAGTGTGATGACGGCTGGATACATGTCGTCTTGGTTGCTTCCTTCATTGTCGGCAGCACCATTTTCATCCCTGCCATCCAGCACATCTGGAATGTGGTCGTCGGGCAGATAACTTCCACCGGTTGTGTACGTGGCTGAAAATTCAGCTAGGGACATTTTTTCGAGGACGTTCGGTCGGCACACGTACCTATCGAGGGGTGACGTACAGAAGATATTATCGTCCTCGTCGTCCATGGCGTCCAGGACACTCCGCGGCTTGAGCATGGACACCCGTTTGTCTTTTGGAGCAGTGTTTACAAAGACCACTTTCCTACTGGCTCTTTTTAGTGGCAGAGAAAGCAGCCTGTACACAGCCTCCTGTGCACTCACCTCTCTGTTGTTGAGAAAGGCTGATCCGACCTTCCTCAGTGTAGATTTCAGGTCATCGCCTCTGCTCTCCTCCAGCACCTTCTTTAGCACCTCGCTCATTGCTCTTTCCCCTTTCAACATGTAACTAGTAATGTACATGATGCATGAATATGCATCCAGAATGAATTGAAGGTCCATGTTAGCACGCCAGGTTTGAAGGATGCTTGGGTTGTATTGATTTATGAATCTTTCGGATGGATGACGCTGAAGGACGATTTGTTCACCTGATTTTGTCAGCTTCAGCGCCTGTTGG